GAGAGCGAAGCACCCGAAACTATGACAACAATTTAGTAGGTTAAAAGACTTACATTGATCGATTGTGGAGTTTTTGATTTTTTTTGCATATGGAGAAAATACATATACATTTTTGTTCTCCCGACGAATTGTCGTTTTTCTCCCCGACGGAGGGTGGAGGGGGAACTCTCTCCGACTGGAGGCCTTGACTTGGGACTGGCCTGCTCCCCCACCCCCCGCTAGCGCCACCCCTGATACTACACTTATTTAAAATGACCGTGCTGAAAGAAATTTACAAGAAACCCGTCCACCACAGAACAACCAGGGGTTTTACTTGTATTGGATTACAGGCATGACTTCAGACGTAGAATTAACAGATATTCAAATGTTATCATTCAATATGTTATTAACACATGGCTGGTTTCGTACAAACCTAGCACTCAGTGTTAACTTTCAAATCCGAACGATGAATGAAAAAAAGTAAGCATAACTTCAATACGGGAAATACTATACATTTTTGTTTTTGTTCTGAGGCAATTGAAGGTAAATCGGAATTACATCTATGTGATATTTAAATAAAGCATGTAAAGTTTTCCAAAAATAAAGGTCTATTATAGCAATCCATTTACACCGAATCATTCATCAGTAACCTACATTCATGTTTCCTATTACTGTATTGGAAATGTATGCTATAGTACTGTCATATTTCAGAAGAGCGAACTTATTAATCGTAAAATTTGATCTAATAATATAACTAGTTATGTGAAGAACGGGAGGGGTGCCATTGTACACGGAAGAGGGACTCGAGCATTCGACAATATTAGTAGTGGTAAAATTAAGGAGTAGCAGCCTCTTCTTTCTTCATAAAGTATGAGGATGTATCGCGTTATTCATCGTATTGATTCTGCCTGTAATAGGCCTATCATCATAATTATTATATAATAGGCCAAGGTCTATATAAGGGTCATCGAGAGTGTATGGGTAAATCCAGGGATATTGATAGACTGTATATGTATACTACATTCATTTTTTTGAATCAGAGTGTCACAGCGGAGAATCTTCAATCATATGGATATTTATTGATGATTCAGTCTTCCTTTAATGATAATTTACTTCTACAAGTAAAAGAGAATGACGCATAGCCGGTGGCCTACATGTGAGCTGGGTGGGAAATGGGAGTGCAATAGAAAATATGTTCCTATATGTAGTTTAGGTATTGTAACGAGTGCAGGGCCTAACATAATTAGGTCTAGTATAAAATAGTAATGTGTGTATATGTGGTCTAGCCATGAGTCAGCTATCATCAATGTTTTGCCAAGACTGTTAAGTGTGAGTAGATTTGGACTCAGGACTTCACATTAAATAAGCCTAAATCGAATTTCCGTCAAATACACTTTCTTGGCACAAGATAAAATTAAGTGACGTTCAAAGCTGGCAGAAGTTCCAATATGCACAGTATACCTGCTCGTTTTTATACTTCTATATGAGTGAAATATAGGCCTATGTTTGTTTACTATATCCCTATTCATACGATCAATCATCTACACATTTGGTTTACATAGGCCTATTATTTCTGCGCGGTTGTATCGAGTGTTTTGTTTTATACAGTAGAGCACAATTGCTACGAGGAAGTTGTCTTTTTAATACGGTGCTTAACTGGGATATGTAAATATGCTTTTGAATTGAATAGCATATTTATATCCCATTTAAGCCCACCATAATAACTACATTCCATAGTTTTTCTCTCTAAAGAGAAACAACATACAGCTCATGCAATCATCTACTGTATATATATATATATATATATA